GGAAGAGATCAACCAAAGAACTTGTATGCATATAGGCATAGCCCATTGGCACAGACAATAGGATGGTGAAGGCCTGGGCAAGGGAAAGATGTGTTCTAGAAGGGATCAATGGAGAAAAAGGAGGACATATATAATACTTTCAATAATAAGAAATTTTTTTAAAAACTTCCTTCAGTATATTTTATAGGACAATTCTGCTGACAGTGAATTCTTTCAGCTTTTGTTTGTCTAAAACAGTCTTAATTTCACCTTTTTTAAAAGATAGGTTAGCCAAAACCGGTTTGGCTCAGTAGATAGAGCGTCGGCCTGTGGACTGAACGGTCCCAAGTTCGATTCCGGTCAGGGGCATGTACGTTGGTTGCGGGCACATCCCCAGTAGGAGATGTGCAGGAGGCAGCTGATCGATGTTTCTCTCTCATCGATGTTTCTAACTCTCTGTCTCTCTCCCTTCCTCTCTGTGAAGAATCAATAAAATACATATATATATGATAAAAAGATAGGTTAGTTAGAGAATTCTAGGTTGCTAGGTTATTTCCTATAATTTGAAAGGTTATTCCACTGTCTAATACAGTGGGGCCTTGACTTACGAGTTTAATTTGTTCCGTGACGGAGCTCGTAACTCAAATCACTCGTATGTCAAATCTTAAAGTGAATGAGTGAGACACATGATGCTGGGCTGATGTTGTGGCATTCACTGTGACGTTCGCTGCGCCAACTAGCGGTGGGGTATCTGAAGCTGGCTCGTAACCCGAATTTTAGCTCGCAACTCAAAGCAAAAATCGGCCGAGAGATGGCTCATATCTCGAAAAATTCGTTAGTCGGGACACTTGTAAGTCAAGGCCCCACTGTACTGCTTTCTGAAAGATGCATAGTTTCAGAAAAGATGTCTGTTATTATCGTTATCATTAGTAATCTACTAATATGTAATTAGTAATCTATCTAAATAATATGTCATTTTGTCTGTTTTTAACTTTTTTCATCTGTATTATTATTGGCAATTTGATTATGATGTGCCTTGATTCTTCTGTTCATTGAGATTCTTGGATCTATCCATTTATCTATCCACACTGAGAAACACCAGCCAGGGCCATTTCTGGTGTTCTTTATAGCTTTGTGAGGGTCCAACTCTTCATCTGATATTTTCCTTTCACCTGAAAAAACACACACACAAAACTTCTTTCAGTGGAAATATTCAATTAAATTTTCAAATATTTTTTTCTGACCCCTGCTCTCTTCATCTGGACTATAATTACACCTATGTTAGACCACGAAATATTGTCCCAAGGGTCACTGATGCTCCTTTTTTTCCTCTGTTCTCTATTTCATTTAAGAAATTTTTATTGCTGTCTTCAAATTCATGATCTTTGCAATTATAACCTGTTAATCCCATCCTTCTTCCTTCCCTCCCTTTCTCTCTCTGATATATGAGAATATAACATATATTCATTTTAAACATTCTATTTATCATCTCCAGAAGTTTCATTTAAATATTTTGTATCATTTCTCTCCGTATGTTCATATTTTCCTCTACTTTTGAGCATATGGCATATATTTATAAGAGCTACTTTAACATGTTTGTCTACTATGCTATCATTTTTGTCAATTCTACATCAGTTTCTATTAAGTTTTCTCTGTCTTTTGATAGATAAGGTATAAATATGTAGCTTAAATATATATTTTTAGCAAAAACACTTGAAAGTTGCAGACAATATAAAACATCACCTCTAAAAAAAAACAAAACAAAACAAAAAAAACAAACATCACCTCTAAAACTTGAGCATGGGTCTCTTAAGAATAATTCATTCTTCAAATTAACATCATACCCTTATCACATCTAAGAAAGTTATCAATAATGCTGTAACAAAGTATATTATATTCAAATTGAAACTTCCCAATTTGTCTTTAAAATGACTTTTATAACTGGATTTTTTTCTCCAGTCAGGATTACATCAAAATTCGTTTTTAGTTTACTTTTTAAGCATTTCTTTATTTTGAATGTCACAAATAATTTAATATACAACCAATTTTTTAAAACCTGTCTTCAGCTTAAGTTTGAAATCTTAAATAACTTTCATGAAAGTCTTTATCCAAATATCCATTGCATGAGTTTCTTAATTTTACTGGCTTTTGAATTATTAAAGAAAATATGTTTATATTCAAAACAAAATAGATCAATGCAAATAAAAAATAGATCAATGTAAAGGAGCCTTTGAAATGGATCCCATGCACCTTTTATTTTTGGAAGCTAATATTATTAATATAACACTTCATTAAATAGACTGGAGTCCGGCCAGCATGGCTCAGTGGTTGAGCATCAACCTAAGAACCAGGAAGTCATGATTCTCTTCCTGGTCAGAGCACATGCCCAGGTTTCTCAAACCCCAGTGTGGGTGTGCAGGAGGTAGCTGATCAATAATTCTCTCTCATCATTGATATTTCCATCTCTCCCTCTCCCTTCTTCTCTGAAATCAATAAAAGTATATTTTAAAAATAAATAAATGCAGATACTGATGTTTAAAAACTAGACTGGATATTAGTTGATATTAAGAAATTCTTGTTAATTTTGTTTGGTGTGATAGCAATAATGTGATTGGCTTTTTAATCAAAGTGAAATGAGGTGTTATCTATAAACTACTTTTAAATAGTCTAGGCAGAGGGGGCAAAAGATTATGCAGTGATATTGATAAAGCCAGATTGGTAAAATGTTAACTTTTAAAGGTAAGAATTGGGAGCATATATTTCTTTTACAATTTCCTCTACTTCTGTGTATATTTAAATTTTCCATAAGGATTTAAAAAATATAAACATAATAAAAATAAGTGCAATAACAATTACTTGAAACTAAAAGATATTCTTCTAAGTGACACATGAATTAAACATTTAAACTTATAACATTTAAAAATAGTTATAACCATAACACTAAATATTAAAACATTTGAAAAATGCTTGAAATTTCAAATGTTTTGATGATAATGGTGACTCAAGAGTGACAGTAAATGAACTAAATATTAACACCAAAAACTAGAAAAAGAATAAAATAAACATAAGGAAAAGTACAAAGAAAAGAATTAAAGGAACAAATTAATAATTCAAAGTACAAACCAAATTATTATATCAATTTAAGAGCAAGATATTGGAAGAAAATGACATAGGTCAAACACTAGATATTATAATTAAAATGGAAGAAAACTACAAATAGGAATGAAAATGAACGTCTTAACCTTTTACAAGAATCAATTTTTAAAAATGTAAGACAATTATTGATCTGAATAAATAAGGATTCTGATGAAAATTTTTTATAGAAAGAAGAATTCTGTTTATATTAGGAAAATATAATCTAATACCCATGGAAGAAACTTAGAAAACTGGTAAAGAACTGCCTCTTACAATGGCACCTGGATATTAACAAATATATGGAAATGTGTGAGAAGTGTTTTTGTTATTTAGTTGTTTTTTGTATGACTCGATGCTCATGTCTCTTGGAGAGTAAACCTAGTGTATCTACATATGGTTCAGGATGTCACACACAAGCAAGAACAATTATCTAAGTGTAGGCTATTTTTAATGGAAGCAGTTTAAATTACTAATAATAAAATATTAGTTTGGTAAATTACAGCCTAAGTAAATAAAAAACATATAAGGATATTTAATTCCATGGGAGAAAATGATTGTGATATGTGAACATAAACATGATGTATTTTTAAAAAGTTACTGAACAATTCTAGTTTTTGTAAATATGTGGTCATTTATGGAAACAATATAAAGATGTAAAAATAAACATCTCTGGATGGTAGAAATATAGAAGCTTTTCAAGTGGGGACAGAATGAGTATATTTAGCTTTAAAATTTTCTACATACAAAAATGTATTACTTTGTAACAAGAAAAATATTTTAAAAATAGTAAAAGCAAAATGGTATGAGTGCAATACTAAAAAGTAATGAATATACATAATTGTAAATCATCATTTTTTTACTGAGTATGATCATGTAATTATGGACTAAGTTCACAAGTAAAAGCTGTATCTGAACCAAAAGAATATTAAAGTGATTAATGTCTTCACTATCTTCTCTGGTTGAATCAGCCTATGTATCCTCAGATTGTTCAGTAGTGTATGTATAGTGTGGCTGCAGAAAAGTAGAGGTATATGTTGCCCTGCCATGAGAAGTCCTTAAATATTCTTAATTGATTAACTGATTACAGACTCACTCCTGGAAAAACATGTGTAAAAGTTAAAAGCAAAATAGTTAATCATTAATAGAATATTTTCTAGGGAGTATACAATTGACACTTAAATTCTCTCTGAAATTACTTATCTGGAGAATTTCTTAATGTTTTCCAGTTCCTAAGAGCAGAAATGAGCCAAGACTACCATTTGGCTAAAAAATTATGTCAAATGAGTAAGTACAAAATACTTTCTGTTTTCTAATCTTCTCTTTGTTTCTAAATACATTCCATAATATATAAGATGGTTTGGTTATCCTAAGTCCAGCGAATTTCCCTGATGGTGTCTCAGTGATTCCTTGACAATAAATTAGGTTGATTGGTATGAGATCAAGTAAAAAAGACTAATTAATTACCACTGATACCATGAAGGTAAATCAAAATCCTTACCTTTATGATAACGGGTAATTGCTGTCAGGTAGTGCAGCAAACCTTATTTAACATGTAATTATTCCACCAATATTTGAGTGCCTACATATGTCAGGCACTGGAAACATAGCAGTCAACAAAACAGATAATGATCCCACATTTATATCTAGTATCAGGCAGATGATAAAACTCATGTAAAGAGTGTGTCATAAATAATAGGCTCTATCTAGGAAAACAAAGTAGGGACGAAGGAATAGAAGATCCTGGGAGGAGGCAAAGCAGTTTCAAACAGGATGGTCCCGGGAGACCGCATGGAAAGACTTGAAGGTGAGGAACTAGTCATGTGGGTATCTGGAAAAAGTGAGTTCCAGGCGGGACTAATAGCTAATGTGCTGAGAGGCCAGTGTGCCTGACAACACCCAGGACCAGATAACTGGAGAGAAGAAGCAAGGGAAGTGTACAGGAGATGAAGTCACAGAGGTCATGGGTTAAGGTTGTGCAGATTACATAGCACCTTTTCACAGCTTAGGGCCTTCACTTTTTCTCTGAGTGGGAAACCGTTGGACATTTTTGAGTAGAAGAATATTACCCAACTTTTTTTTTCTTTATATCTTTGGTTTTTAGTAGTTTGACTTGACAGTTGTGGTTTTTCTTTGTCTTTATACAACGGGAGGCTTGAGAGGTTTCCTGAGTTTCTTAATTCTGTGGGTTGATGTTTTCATTATCTTTCTTAGCCATTATCTTTTAAAATATCACTTCTACTCTCTTCTCTTTCTTTTCTTCCTAGATCTTCAATTATACATAAATTAGAGTTTGTTTTCATAGTGTCCCACACGTATCTTATACTCAGCTTTGTGTTTGTTTTATTTTTCCCCCCCGATTTCTTTTTATTTCTCTGCTTCAGTTTGGATATTCCCTATTGTACTTTAGTTAACTTATCCTCTCTTCTGCTGTTAAAACTATTTTATATCACTCTCTGTTTGCACTTAAATACATCCATGGTACAATTGTTGGTGTTTATCGTTTTTGTGCATTTTTCCTTACTCTGATTGACAGTTTCAATCTCATTCTGAGGTGCCGGTTTGCTGAAACATTTTGACCATTAGTAACTCACACTCTGTTGTCTATTTTCAGTCCTAATCTATGAACCAGAAAATCCTGAGGCCAAGGAGTTCTTAGTACTTATTGAAGAAATGTTGCTGATGGGTAAATTTAAAAATTGAAATTCATTCTTTCTCATAGAACTATGAGCAGTCACTATTTATTGAAAAACCCATTACCCCAGGAGATTGCCAAAGTACATCCTCAGGATGTGGTTAAGAAAAGGCTAATGGTCATCTTGGATGGTTATTGAAACCAGCTTGTCCTTTGTAGATGGTCAAGACGACTTCCTTTTCTCTGTGGGGTGGAACTACCCAAACAAAGTGGGCTTCCTGGGCACAGGCATTTGCACGACAGTCTTCAGAGGGAATAGAGCATGCCAACTTCCCCTTGCATTAAAGGGACTATCCCACAATTCCAAGGAAAGTCAGTGCCCTCTGAATTATCCTATTCTGTTTAAGAATTACATTCATAATAAAAAAAATATTTTATAGATCTGGTTGGAAATTTACTTTCAGCCCACAGACATCTTTATGCCAGTAAGAATATAGTCTTATTTGTACTACTACTTTAACCCTTTATACAGTTAACAAAGTTCAGCTCAGTTCTCATGTCCCCAAAATATACATTTCTTAGTGGAGGGAGAAGCAAGAAGAATTTCAATTTTTCAAAAGAGTGAAAATGTTAAGAAACATATTAAGTGATTCTCTTCCTTTCTGTGGCAGAGAAAGCTCAAAATCGTGAGGAAGAGGAGGAAGATAGTGAAGAAGACAGTAGTGGGGAGAGTGAAGGAGAAAGCAGTGAGGAGCCGAGTGAAGAAAGCTCTGATGAATGTGAAGATGGGTGATGAAAGGTGCTACTATGGTTTAATCTTCATATATTTTCATTACTATATAGCATGGAAATATAAAGAAGAAAACTGCATTTTATTCTTCTTTATTTGGTATAGAGGTACTTTAATTTATCCATATTAGTTTGAACTCCTTCTAATATTAAGGTCTTGATTCAATGTGAGTTACTCAAGAGAGGAAAACAATTTATATTTGAAAACACATCTTACTATGTGCCAGTTACTGTTCTACACACACTACTTAATGCAACAAACCCATGAGGTAAGTACTATCGTTATTCCCATTCAGCAGATGAGAAAACTGAGGCACTACTCTTAGTCCCTCCATGACCACCTCTTTAGGTATTTTTATATCATTTTTTTATGTTCTTTATAACATATATCAGTACCTGACATTCTTATTTAATTACTTGCCCTTTTTATCTTCTCCCTTCCAGTCAGGAAATGTAACCTCCTGAAGTACAACTTTGTCTTTTTCACCATTGTATTCCTAGCAACTGCACAAGTACCTGGAAAATAATAGGATGTATACACAAAGTGAATGAATGTAGTGAAAATTAATGAAATGTTTATATTCTTTTATGAAACATTTACACAACTATATTACACCTTTGATGTATTGATCTAAATTATTTTGCTGATTCTATATTCCTCGATAAATTTCTGCCATCTTCAAAGTAGGTTGTAAGGTAACTAAAGTAAAAATAAGAAATATATTCCTAAGTAATTTGTTTTCAGTGTGCCAGTCTGATTTGTGGATGTGTATTTTGAATTTTTATTCTTATATCAGATGTTATATCTAAAATGTTTGCAGCATAGTTTATTCTTTGGGCATTTTGTAGCCTGCTAACGTTTAAAGGAAGAACTTCTGCACCATTTTATAGGAGTGACTCAGATAAATGAAGACAGATATGTATAATCCTCTCATTACATAAGAAGTCAGATAGCACTGGAGGGCTGGCTGACACAGACCTCACAAATGGCTCTTCTTTTTATTTGTGGTGGGGGGTTGTTATTCCTCCCCACTATAGCAAAACCACCATATGTCAATCTGAGATGCTTACCTGAGTATAGAGGTCCTCTTCCCCCACAAGAAGTTCATAAAATACTCTACAACTGAAATTGCAAATTAGTTACATTAATGAGAGTTTAGTTTTCTTTTAAAGGAATGTGAAAGTTCTGAGAAAACAACTATCTGAACAGCCAAAATATCATGAGGTTTGCTCATACAGGATACTCATATCCCACTCTTCCTCTTCTTCATTCTTCTTGCTCTCCTTAACCAATTTAACTTAGGGTGTTGGCAAAACTTGACATAGGTATGTAGTAATAATAGATAAAAAAATAATCTGCCAAGTATTATTTTATTATTTAACTCACTGTCTTCTCACGATAGTTTTAAGAGCATGCTATTATTATCCCTGTAAGTGATATGAATTGAAGTGGGGATGCTTGGAGATATCCAAGAGTAAATGTTAACAGGTATTGGAATTCAGATGAGGAAATTAAGACTTGGAGATGCTAGTTTTTGTCTTAGTATGAGAGATCTAGAGAACCTTGAACACAGTGTTCCATGCTGCTTCACACATCACTAAATTCTAGAAACCTTCACATAAGCTAGTCTAGAAACTGTTTAATGTTCGACTTGTGCCTTCTTTAAAATTTTATAACACGTTAACAGTGGTGTGAAAGAACTAAATACCAATGCTCAATTAGTTGGAGCATCATCCTATATACAAAAAAAAATTTGTTTTAAATGTGGGTTCCATTCCAGGTTAGGTCACATACCTAGGTTGCAGTTTAATCCCCAGCTGGGGTGCATAGAGGAGGTAGCCAATCAATGTTTCCCTCTCACATTGGTGTTTCTCCTCCCCTCCCCCTGACCTCCCCAATTCCTCTCTCTCTCTCTCTAAGATCAGTCCTCAGGTGAGGATTAAAATAAAAATTAAAAAAAAAACAACCAAATATCCAACAACATGAGAAACCCACTAAATCGCTTCATTTATTAATATTTACTGAAGGCCTGTTAGGTATACTATGGGGAACAAAACACATGAATAGTACTTAAATAGTACTCTTAAATAGCACTGTCATAGTTGAAATACAGGGTGATAAACATTGCATTGAGGAAGTCCAGTGTGCACACAGGAGGGGTACCTAACCGAGGCCCAGCATCCAGGGAAAGCATCCGGAGGGGAGTGAAGTCTGAGCTGAGAAGTTAGAATGAGCAGGCATTCGCTACAAGACTTTGTGGGGAAGTGTTCTAACACTAGATACATTCTGCATCCAGAAAGTAAGTAGGTAAGGTTGGATTGCAAAATGAAAATGAACCTGTTAGAGTAGAAACAGATGAAGCTACAGTGATAAAGGAGCTGGATAATGGAGGATTATATAAGCCTTTATCCTTAGAGTAGTGGGAAGCCATTGAAGAATTTAAAGAAAAATAATGATTGTATTTTAGAAAGAACATTCTAGTAGCCAGGTAGAAAAATGTTTTCTTGAACTACAGGTCATGATCCATTGGTCAGTTATGAAAAGTTTATAGTGAGTCACAAGTAGTTGGGATATTTTAAGATTAAATTATATAGAATAGGAAATAGCACACATTACAGAAGAGTATGGAAATTACATTTTTGTGTAACTTTTGGTCTGAGTATGTGTGTGTGTCCTAGATCTTGATGTAAAATGTAGTTCTTCCTGGGGATTGCAATTTAATGTGAGTGTGTGTGTGTGTGTGTGTGTGTAATACATATACATACACACATACAATATATGATATATCTGAAAGTGTGGAGAATAGACAGAGTACAGAACACCACTCGTACATAGTCATTCTAACAGTTCAAAGTTGTAGCCTAGAAAGAGTCAGTTGCAGAGAGATGCAATGGAATGGGGGAGTTATTTTAGAGGTAGAAGGAACGGAAAGGAATTGGTGATGAATTACTTGTGGGGGAGCGGTAGAGGTCAAGGATGTCTCCCACTTGGATAGCTATGTATATGGTGGTGCTATCCCCTTAAAAAAAATGAAAGATTTGCTGGAGATGTTGGCAGTTAACTTACAGAAGCTGAGCATGGTAAATATAATAGTTTGCTATCACAGTTGTAACAAGTTACAACAAACTTAGTGGCTTAAAACAACACAAATTTATTACCTTACAGTTCTGGAGGTTAGAAATTAAATGGGCCTCACTCGGCCAAAATCAAAGTGTCAGCAAGGCCGCATCCTTTCTGGAGGCTCCAGGAGACGCTCGGTTGCCTTGCCTTTTCCAACTTCGAGAGCCTGCTTATATTTCTTGGCTCATGGCCCCATTCCTCCGTCTTCAAAACCAGCAATGTCTGACTGGGACATTCTCAGACTGTAGTCTCTCTAGTTTTCTCTCCTCTATCTTGTGGTTTTTGTTAAGTAGAACCCTGGGGTGTTGAGCCAGGGTTCAGCAAAGATCCCAAGGGAAAGTGAAATAGGAAAGTTTATTACTCACAGGTCCTAGAGGAGGTACACCTTACGACTGGGGAGATCAAGTTGCAGGCAGTGAGTGAGGAGCAGGACCTGGGGTACATGTCTTTATTAGGATCTACAAGAGGAATGCTTTTGGGGTTCCCAGACTAAAGCCAGATCGGCCAATTCAAACCAAAAGGATCCAAGTTTTGTTCAGCTCCATGAGGGTATTAGTCAGAGGGGTGCACAAAGGAAATAGTTGGGAAGCAGGAGAGACTGTTATCACCAGGTGCATTGGAAAGTCATATGCACCTGTGGTTACTTGTGTTCTCTCATGTAATGCTTGGGCTGCTCCGTAGGCCAGGCACTTGACAGAGAGGCTAGTGAGTTCAAGGCCCCTGTAGGCTGCTCAGCCACACAAAATGGAAGCAGAGGCAGCAATATTATGGAACAGGTTAGCTCTATTCTCAACACTCTGACTCTCTCTTCTATTTTTAAAGAAACTTGCAGTTACTTTGGGCCCATCTGGATAATCTAGGACAGTGATGGCGAACCTTTTGAGCTCGGCGTGTCAGCATTTTGAAAAACCCTAACTTAACTCTGGTGCCGTGTCACATATAGAAATTTTGTGGTATTTGCAACCACAGTAAAACAAAGACTTATATTTTTGATATTTATTTTATATATTTAAATGCCATTTAACAAAGAAAAATCAACCAAAAAAATGAGTTTGCGCGTGTCACCTCTGATACGCGTGTCATAGGTTCGCCATCACTGGTCTAGGATAATCTTCCCTATCTTGAAGTCCTCAGATTAACAACCTTTTTCCATTGATTTTTAGAGAGAGTAGAAGGGAGAAGGGAAGGAGGGTGGGAGTGAGAGAAAGAGAGAGAGATTGATGCAAGAGAGACACATAGATTAGTTGCCTCCCACACGTTGTTAAGGTTATTAGTTACATTACAGGTACAATGATGAACATTGTGACTCTCCATTATATTGCACAGCCTGACTTCATCCATATGGATTTCTTTAAATAGTGCAAAATACTTTATACAGGAATGTGTTCGGAAGGGTCTTTGCAACCAAAATAAGGAAAAGAAATATCTTACAGATGACCATGAACATATATTTAATGCACAGGGGAGGGGAAATTAAAACAAAAAAAGTAACCTGAATAAAAAAATCTGTAACCTGAATTGCCCTTTGCCATTTAACCTAACATGTTTATGAGATCTGGGGTTTAGAACATAGACAGCTTTTGGTGGGTGGGGGGCATTATTCTATCTACCACAGAAAGTATTAGGTGATAGTCTTTTGGAATTCATGCTGTGGAGCTTAGAAGAGATACTTTGGCTATAGATACACTCCTTAACTAGGAGTCATTAGTTTAGACTTAATTAGGTAACACATAACTGAGATATCTCTTTGATTAGAGATAGTAATTAAAGATAAGGCAGGATGATAATTACATGTATTGATAGGCTATTATGTGTTAGGCATTGTACTAAGCATTCCATATCTTAATGTTTTATTCATAACACTGGTGTGGGATAGACATTATTATCTCCATTTACATAAGAAGAAACTGAGGCCTAAAGAGACAGAGTAACTTTCTAAAGATCATATGTCTGGGAATTGGCAGATTCAAATCTACGTCGTGTGTGTGTGTGTCTCTTTATAACTTCGACAATCAGTGGTCAGTTCTCATCCACATTGACTGGCTGTAGATTTTTTAAGGTGGTGACAAGTACATAGGTAACCAATATATAGAGCTTGTTTGGTGAATCTTCATTTTCATTATGTTTTCTGGATAGGATGTTACCCATATAATTTTAATAGTTGGTTAACTGTCATGAGTTTCTTTTGCC